AAAAAAAAAAGAACATTAAGCGCCAGAGCCCACATACTACACAAATTACTGATTCAAATATCAGAAAAATGTGAAAGCTACTATCAAGCCAGCCAATATAATGAAAATGAAGATGTGTGATAATTTGACTGATTCACTCACTTTCTTCTTGGTAGAACAGCGGTCCTTTGTCGTCGAGAAGTTACTTGTTTGGGGCCTTGATGTGGTGAAGTAGTTGGGCTAGCACTGCTACCAGGTGGATCAACTGAAGGCCCAACATCGGTTTTCTTACTTCGTGTCGGCTGAGAAACAACAACCTTCTCCAAGTCAGCGCTGCATGCTATTGAGTACCGCTTGTTATCTGCCCCCAACACCATAATGCGACCCCCCTGAGTCCAGCAGCTATGTATTCCAAGCTTCTCACGACATTGCAGGAATAGTTTATGTCGGCGCTTGGTTAGGAACTCTGACACAGTAATGCCAGACCCCTTTAGTCCAACCTTAGCAGCCCAAGCGTCATCTCGATCCTGCTGATTCTTAAATTTGATGAGTATTGGGCGTGGACGCGAAGATGAAGTCACACCCATACGGTGAACCTGGTTGAGGTCTTCAAGATGAATATCAGGCAAAAGGTACTGACGAACAACATCTGCCGCAACCTTCGAAGACTCTTCATTTGGCTGTTCGGAAATACCATGTAACATGAGCATTTTCCGCCTGTTTCTCATTTCCATTGCATCACCCTGCATTACCAAAATATCCACCTGCTTTTGGAGTGCAGCAAGAGTTGTCATTACAAATGTGCGAAACGAACCAAAATCTGCAGCCAATGTTGAGACAGTCTCGACCCTTGATGTAGGAAGTCTCTTCAGCTCATCTTCAAATAAGGCCATGCGTGATTGAACCATGACTGCTAGAGATTCCATTGTACCCTTGACATCCTCCATAATAATTCAAATCAGTGATGGTGCTAGTTAAAAATGTGCTGTTTGTAGTGTGCTATAAAGGTGCCAGAAAAGTAGGAGATAATGACTGCAGCAGGTAATGTGTGTCCTATTCTGACATTTTCTGTATAATATTCTCAGGTTCAAATAATATAAATATTTTTAAAAATAAAATCAAAAGAGTACAATAAAAATGTGTATTTCACTGCTAACTACCCACGAAATAATATTATAATAATCTTCTCCTTAATGAAGAAAAAAATGCTTAAAATTTTGTACTACCTAATGTTAAAAAAGTAGATATAAATGTTAATATAAAAGATAAGAACATGGGCCTTGTGGATACCACAGTATTTTAAGAAATAACATTAGATTCTAAACTACAGTGGGGCCCACATATTGATAAATTGTCGAGTAGACTTAGCTCTGCAGCATATGCCGTAATGAAAATACGTAGGTTAACTGACATAGATACTGCCAGATTAGTATACTTCAGTTACTTTCATAGTGTAATATCGTACGGAATCCTATTGTGGGGAAATGCTGCCGACATACAAACAATTTTTGTGCTTCAGAAAAGAGCAATTCGATCAATTTATAATCTTAGGATTAGGGACTCTTTAAGGGAGAAATTTAAGGAAATAGACATTATGACTGTTGCTTCTCAATACATATACGAGAACTTAATGTACGTTCGTAAAAATATTAGTTTGTTTTCTATAAAAAGTGATGTACACAATTTTAATACAAGAAATAAAAATAAATTAACGGTGCCTGTCAATAGACTGCAAAAAGTTAATAACTCATTCAAGGGTCTTTGTGTGCGCTTCTACAATAAGGTCCCAAGCAAAATACAACAATTAGATATCATGCAGTTTAAATCTACTATTAAAAATACTTATTATAAAGCTTATTATAAGGTATCCTATTATATAACAGATAAGAACGCTTGGACTTGAGATGATCCAGCAACTGGATAGGTGATTACTTCTAAACTCATTATATACCGAATATTATCTTGTCTCCATTATTATTAAATGATTATGTTATCATTATAAGACCATCGTTTTTTTTTCTCTCTCTGTTTATAATGTATTGATCTGGCAATGACATGGTTTTTGTAAATGTCATTACTCTTATTAGAGCTGGTGAGATTCTTGCTCGTTCTTCTTATCAGCCAAAAGACGTCCTGAACGAGAGGTAGGGAAAAAAAAATGTTGGACGATTCAAAAGTACTCTATTTGAATAAAGATTATTTTTGACTTTTTTTTAATGTTCAGACGATCCACCCAAACAACCGAAAGAAATATTTTTTACAAACATTTAAACTTTCGATAGAGATGAAAATTTATTCTAATTATTATATTTGATAAATTTCGCGTTCACAATGCTATACTGAAAAATATTGTTAATGAATAATTCTTAAAAAATTAATTTTTCAACATTTTTCATTAAGTACATGTTTATTGTTCATATTTGTTAGCTATTTTCAGGAAAACACTGCATAATACATAGTGGTGCAAATAATATGCAATCCACTAAAAAGTGACATCACTGTATGCGCAATGCTTCTGCTGCCGCCGTGAAGTGTATATTTAAGAAAAAATCTATGCATTTCACTGAGTTAAATATAATAATATAAAAAAAAAACAGTTGCAGTTCACTAAAAAGGACGTCACTGCACTAGATAGCTACCCCTCCAGCTCCTCCGTGAAGTGTGTCTTTTAGGAACAATCTCTATACATAATTCACCAAGGTATTTAAAGTATAAATAAAAATATGCAGTCTACCAAAAAATGACTTCATTGCAATTTCACTAGATACGATCCCTCCGGCTCCTCCGTGAGGTGTAAGCTTTGGAAAAAATCTCTTTGATTCACCGTGGTGTAAAAAACTATACATACGATTTACTGAAATAATTATGTCCCTGCATACGCACTGACTACGCCAAACCACTGCCACGGTATACCCGATATAACTTGTCGAAATAACTTGTATAACAACAAATTTGATAACTAAAAGCTGCTATGGTCGACGGTTGGTCATCTGTATAAGCGCTTTTGCAGACGATATTCAAGCAACTTGGAAACAAGATAACTTGTTTTAATTTGAGGGTGAAATTGTACGCGGATAAGGGATTTTGACGTAGAGATGGGGGGGAGGGGGGATTACCTTTCCACCAAAACACCGCTCACCCGACGGAAATGCATAGTTGCCGAAATATTTATGATTGAAATTTGAGGTTACACGAGTATATTATACTCATTAATTGATCAATTTCGCATTAACAATGCTATACTGAATAATATTCTTAATACAAAATAATTAAAAATTAGCCACTTGATTGAAAACTACTGTCTATTCCGAGCATGAAAATACTACTAATTGTAAGTCAAAAAATTGTGTTATGAAAAATCAAATGTGAACTAAGGTTTCTATAATACCGCTACTTTTGTTTAGAATCAAGCTTAAAAATAGATGTTCAATTTACTATGCAAAATTTATCCAGCTTACAGTCATTTAGGCCTAAAAACTCTTAACCAAATTAATGTTATAATGTCAGCATTTATCAAAGTGATATGAAGCCAGAAACTGGTTATTATGAGTTCATTTTGCTTTTATTTGACTTGTGTGTTGCTACTTTGTAGCCTTTTTGGATTTAATTTAGTATGTTTTTAATAATTAGCAAAATAAAAGAGGAGGCAAACGAAGAAGACCGACCAGAACGACAAACGTCAGTGGTATAAGCGATTGCTAAGCATTGTGTATTAAGAGGATGTATTGATTTAGAACTAAAAAGGGTCCAAAAATATTTATATATATACGAGTATATATATAGTTGTGTATTTCTTGATGCATTGCAAAATGTACACGCTATATAAATATACAATTCCAACATTTGGGCCGAAGTCAATATTTATGATGGGCTTTTACGAACTGTGGAAATTTTTTCTATGGGTCAAGTCTCTAATCTAATGGTAATGCAACTTAAAGCATATTTTTATGACATTTTTTAGGAGATTACATTATATTTTCTAAAAAGAACACTTGAGGCCGGTGGTGGAATCGTGGCGCATCCGGTACGCATACAGTGACTTTATTTTTTTAAGAGACCGCATGTGTTTTTTATTTATTACGGTGTATTTATTATGTATTATGCAGAACTTTCTTAAAATTAGCTAACGAGTACGACCATGTAGCACGTAGTTTCAGTTTGACAAAATCGAACTTTGATCACCTATATCTTTTTATAAACAGCATCTACGTCAAACAAAAAAAAAAATATTTGTGTGAATAAGGTCTTTCAAATGATAACACTCAAAGTGCTACAATACTTGAACCGAACTCCATTCTAAAGTGCCTATTCTCCTTGAATATTGTTGTCGCTACAATGAAGATAATGATAAAACATGTATATAACCCATTTCTTCTACATTGACAATATTACAGATCTAACATGTGACATGTGATTGCTCTCGATTAGGAATAACTTAAATGCTTTGTAAATAAATACAACAAGCTCAGCTTTATTAGCAACGCTAACAACATACCAAGGCTTTCGGTTATTTTATTAGAGTAACGTGGAATAGCTTATTAAATATTAAAAATGACTTGTAACTCCATAAAAAAATATAAAGGGGTTTTTATTCCCAATTTTTCAGAATTGGGAAGATCGGATGGTAAGATGGAGTGTGCTATAACTTTAAATATAATTATTTTTACCATCAACCATGTGTCCGGCCATTATTTCCCTTTGTTGGTCGAAGGAAAACATTCTTACTATTCTCTCGCTTGAATTTATCTTCTTTTCAGCTCTATAGAAATTCACGAACCTGATGTTTACAACATAAAAAAAGCTTATTTTCTTATTTTATCACTAGCTTTCGAGTCGGTGCGTTAGGAGTTAATTTTTATCTCAGGCAAAAAAATAGCAAAAAATTCAAGATGTTTACTGTTATATAAACTAGTGAACACCAGCAACGATTAAATGGGCCGCAGAGTAGAAGTTTTTCAAACATAGAAAAAAAAAACACTCAATTGAAAGTACATATATCCGAAAAATTACAGCTCATACATTTAGGCTGATGAACGATGTGATGTCCAGTTTGTCTGTTTGTCTGTCATAAGACTGTATCTTTGTGATTGAGGGAACATTATATGATGAATTTTTATTACTTGCCAGTTATCCCTGTGCTCCCATTCTATTAGATGTGAAATCATAGGAGTCCCTCTGGATACCGGGTACGATATATGTGGGTATATGTTTGCCAAATGCGGATTCAATCCTGCTACGTACAATCTAGAATAAATTAAGACAGTTCAAATCAGTACAATGATATGAACTGATTAATTAAAATTAGTTCTGCTTAGTAACGGCATGAAAAATGTAAAAGAAAGCATAAACATGTTAGCATACACAAGGCATTCAAGAGAATACTTACTTTCCTAGAGCGTTGACGAGGACTTGTACATTGTCTTTGTGATTTTTTTGGACAAGTGAAATATTAATGATGTTCTTCTTTAAAGAGCCACGTAAGATCTCCTGCAGAAGACCATGCGGTGCGACCTCTATCGTGATAGCGTTGTGATGAAACAAGTGTGATGTCTCTTCGAATGACACGGTATTCTATTTAGTAAGATTCATAAGTATTCATATAATCAAATGAAATATGTACTGCTAACTAATAGAATCTAGTGATTCATTATTATGTTATTAGATGTCAAGGTTATCAAAACGAAGAATCCTGTTTGCAATGTAAAAATTAAGGAAGATAGGTGATCATATCATCTCGAGCTCCTCCGTATTCAGTAGGAAGGCACGCAAGCCATTGGTCCTGGTGGCATTTGTAACACCAACTCGTACTGGGACTGCGTGATGGGTGTTATGGCCCGTTTTTCCTTTTTGATTCCATGCACTCCTACAGTGGGGAAATTTATGGGCTGGTGATAATTATAAGGTACTTTCGCGCGGCACTTGTGCTACAACGATTGACTCACCAAGAGCGTATTGGTGTGGTATTCTGCTGAAGAGTAATCTGCCTTGACGTCCTTCCACCGCGACTGAAGCATTGGTAAAGATATCCATCGCTCCGAACGCTTCTTAGGCACTGGGATAACTTCATTTAGGTATTTTAGTAGTTTGGGACCTATATAATGATAAATGATAGTTTAATATAAAAACAGTGAATCGAGTCAACACAAAAAGTATTTTCCTAGTGAAATAATCCTTGTAATCAATAGATTTTGAGGCATTGGAGAGTGCAACGATAGATCATGTTAGATCAAAAATTATTTGTTTGCTTTTAATTTGCTTAATCGCGTAAATTGACTGCTTAATTATGAATAAAAGGTTTGTAACCGCTTATTTAGTTTTGACGCGACGCTTCGCTATTGTTCCGTATGACCCATTCATGTCTTGGATTTGGTATGCGTAACTCCAAAGACTTCACACAGGTTAAAACATTAAAAATTCTTTAATGCACATTCGTCCGCAGTCACCTGAAATACGCTTCGTAGATATGGAACCTTGGGAACCAAACGTACATATCGTGATTAGAGAAAATTCAAGTTTAAATAAAATTCATAATATATATTTTCTTTCGTACCAAACAACGCTTTGATTCGAGTCATTGTGAGGAAATGTGAAAGAAAATCGACAGGAGATCGCTGATCCGGTTTTTCTCGTCAAAATTGTTTGTGGTGCTGTCGTTCGTCCTGAACTCCTGTCGAAAATTACTCTTAAGGACCCACAAAAACAACTCAAGTTCAATCCTTTATTATATTTACCCCCAGGTTCTTAAAAGTTTCGCCAGAATTCATTTCTATGGCGTAAACTATGGCAAAAACTATCAGTGAGTAAACATCGACCTTTTTAACACTAGCGAAGCGTCAATTAAGCACTTTGTAAGATAATCTACTTTTTGAAAGTTTTTAGTGATATAAATTTAATTATGCATGTTTTATTACGTTTATAGTGTAGCTTAGTACTTATATTGTTATCATGATTGTAAGTCAATCTTACTTTTATACTAAGTCTATCTGTGATATCCGGTAAGTAGCTGTTTATTTTAAGCTAAGATTTTTATTTTGTAATTTTAGCTGTTGGTCATCTATATACATAAATAAATCTAAAGATTTGACTTCAGAGGCAACCAAACGTTTGATATCGTTCATAGAAATTGTTTGACGTGCTTTTGTTGGTGCAAAAACGATAGACGTATGGATGTATTATATACTTCTTTTAGCTATATATTTTGCTGATACTTACCAACTTTAGCAATGTTATGGGAATTGTAGGGAATATTCGAGCAAGGCACTTCTTTGGCAAAGACTCCCTGAGCAAAGAGTTTCGCAACGAAACTCTTAATAAAGTCAGCTGGTCCGGAGATGGTGATAGAATTGGGTCCTTTGCAGCAAACTACTTCGATTTCCGGTGGGCATATTGTTATCATCTGATCGTTAATTAAAGGTATGTAAGTAAAATATTATAGCTATACTCGTAAACAAAAAAAACATTTCAATGCCATAACCTATTATTATATTTAATTAATTCTGAATTCACAATGATATACTGGAAAATATGCTTAATGAAAAATGCTCTAAAAATCCATTTTGTCCCTGGTCTCATCCCATTTCAGAGAACCAGAGACAAAGTGCTATATTCCCATTACCTATTTTTATATAAAACAATTTTTAAAATCAGTCAAAAATTGGCGAAAAAATACATACATAAAAATAAAATAAGGATAGATCGCCATTGGACATAGAACCTTCTCCTTTTCAATTTTGATGTCTGGTAAAAATTCGAATGAATACAAAAGAAATATTAGTAAATTACCATTTAAGTATACGAAAGTAATTTAGAACAATATTATTTGTAAATTTTAAGTAAAATACTAGAAAATCGAACATACGAACTGGTTTATTATGCCTAGTAGAGACTTACTTGAGAATAGTCTAAACCTACAATCGCCATAGATCTCTTTATAAGCGATGTTTCAGTCAAAGCGAGTCCTTGACTATATGCAGACAAAATCGTTTGTTCAGCGGTGAAACAATCATCGGCGTATGCGCATCCAAGCTCTCCGATATTGTGACCTATTGAAGTGTAAACATCGTTTTAGAAAATATCTAATAGTATAAAAAATGTCCCACATAACACTGTGATAATATTAGGCATACATTGCCTATATTAAATAAGTAGACGAAAATAAATAAAATCTATCATTATGATTTAATGGGAATGGTAATATTTTACACAACTATAACTGATATTAAAATAATACTTGAAAGTACATATGAAAGCATCAAGATTAAGACTTTTATATAAGATAATAGATTAATTAAAAATAGTTTTAATTTATATCATTAATTGTTATTGTATGATCTAATTAATATATCAAACTTTATTTTACCATATTTCGAAAAGTCTCATTTAATAGGTTTTATTTAAGGAATCTTTATTACCAATAACATAGTCCGGTGCAATACCAACGGCCTTCAAAACATCGGTGAGACCAATCTGAACTGCAGTAATGCCAATTAATGAGTTGAGAATATTGTCACAGATCCCTGGATCTGGATCCGTCACGATTTTGATTAGATTGATGCCTTTGGGCTCGAGTGCCTTGTGGCAGCTGATTGGGAATAGTGACATTATTTATTTTTCAAGTGCCGAACTAAGTACATAATTAGAATGACATTGATATCGAATAAGGTAAATAGTAGCAATTGGTAAGAAGGCTGTTTTCTAAGATATAAATTTGTTGATCAAAATAAAATATAGATTAATGCTTACCCTTCTATGGCAGCAGCAAAAATAGGTATTCTCATGAGCTGTGTCGCCATACCGGGCCACTGCCAACCCATGCCGGGGTATATAAACCACACTGGTCTCTTAACTCCAGAGAAACGCTGCATATCACGAGAGAGAGTTACGCTCTTAGTTGGTGTCGATTCTATAAAACAAGAATTTCATGTATTGTTCACAGTGACAGAAAGGCAGTAAAAATATTTGCATAATAAACGAATATTCAATATAATTTTCCTTTAATATTTAGATAGCGAATTTTTAATTTTGTACCTTTTACGTCAGTAAAAGTTTAACAGGTTTGCGGTAAACTTACCAAGAACAGTGTATCCCCTAACTTCATGTCCTATAATATCATGCTCATGTATGGCGTGATACAGTCTTATCAACTCCGCATCCACTGGCCTTGATTCCAGATCATCTAATATCTTGGCCACTGCAGATTCCGTGCGCCCTGAAGCGCAAACCAGACGGGGTAGATCGTCAATAGGAATACCACGATTGACCTGGCGAATTACATTCGAGAAGAATTTTTGGGTATAAGTTCAGAGACCATCTTATTTTATCTCAAACCTGCGATCTCCAGATCAAGATTTAACTTGATACTTAATCAAACCCTTAAGTGAAGTTTTATTGAGTGAATTGAACTAAATAGAAAAAGAAATATCCCAATTTGAAACATGGCTCACCTTCTCCCTTGCAACATTCTTCAGCAGTGCGTGGGCATTTGCACCTCCGAAACCAAAGTTGCTGATGCAAGTCATACCTTTATTCCAAGGAGTTTTCTCTTTAACAACCTTGAGCCGTCCTTCTGCTAAAGCTGCTATTCCATCTCTTGGCTTCCAATAGTTTAGATTTGGTGGGATCAGACCTTTGTCGTACGCTATACAGATCTAAGAAGGAGAACCAATGATTAATTTTATTTTTAAAAGCATTTTCTATACCTTTATCTTTAAGTAAAAGAATAATCAATTGGGTTCAAATTTCTGGATGACGATCAATTTGTCTTTAAAATTAAGTTCTTTTGATTTTTTTAAAAATTTGTGCCTTTAAAGTTCAATTTCCTTGTTTTAGGATTCCGTTTCAAAAAAGAAAAACAGAACTTATTACAAGACAATCCTGTCACAACATTTTTCTTCGAAACCACTGAACCGATTAAAATAAATTTAGAATGCACAAAAGAAGTCCGTAAACGTACTTTGATGGTAAACAATGGAATGGATGGTATTAGTTTATTAATTTTTCTATTAAAAAGGATTGACAATTTAAATTTAATGTGTTGCTCTGAAAGTAAAAATTTATTTCGAATAAACAAAAATAAAATGTATTACTATTTTAACTATTACATTTAACAAATTCCTACTTTAAAGTTTTTAGTTGACTCGTCTTGATTCCAATACTCATTCAGCTTAAAAATTGCTCCGCAAAACAAAGAAATACAGTGGAAAAATTCCATATTTTGAAAGAATAGTACGTTTTACATTTAAATCATTAACAAATAAAATTTTGTATTTTTTCGTTATCGTTGCCGCTGCTATTCACTTTTAATTCTCCGAACTATATGGGTGCTTTTTATTATACGTGGCTATAACTTAAAGCAAATAAGCATTTCATCCAGATTTTTTGAGAAGATTTCCCCGTCAGGTTGATTTTGTTGTAAAATAACGCCAAGGCTTTCTATTTAAGCATCTGTATAAATGTTGACTGTCACTTTATTGTATCAAATGCCTTCTGGAAAATGTCAAATTTGTTACCTTCTGGCAAAAGATAAAAATCGGACCTAGAAAATTTTTGATTATTTCTTAGTAAGTTATGTTACGGCTCCAATACTATCACATTCTTGGGATTTTTATCACGAGTACATAACATAAAAAAATCTTAAAAATTCTCTAATATTTTTCTGGTTTTCGGAATAGCAAAATTTTTAGTGAAATTACTGGTTTAATAATTGTCTTGAATTATATGACTGAGATATTTTACTGTATCTGATGCAAAAGTTCATAACAAATTCTGTTTTTGTTGATTTCATCGACCGAGTCAGATAATTAAAATGATCAGTGAATATTTTGGAGAAAATTAAAAATCATCAATAAAGTTAACAGCAAAATCAATGTTTATGTTCCTCAATATATTACTTAATTCTTTAAAAAATAGCGGGGTGACGTCTTTAGTCCAAAAGGAAGACAAGTCCACTGATAATGTCCTTCTTGTCTCAGGAACCCTATTTTTTTGGTCTTCTATACTTAAGGGAATAGATCAAAAACAGAATTTATATCTAAAGTTGAAAAAAAAAAACATTTGTTTCTGGCTTTTGTCATTAAATAGTCGATTAGAGGAAAAGGTTTCGCTTGAGGTACTAATTTTATTTATATCTCTGAAGTCTATACACAACCGGTATTTTTTAGTATTTTCTTTATTGAGAGCTCATATAAAAGGAGCAGCAAATGGACTGTAGGACTCATCTATCAGTTTATTAATTTAAATTTTACAATTTGTTCTTTTATCACTCTTTTGTCTTCTATAGTGCATCTAATAAGACCTCTTACTAATAAGTCAATTCTTGCTTCATATCCATTAACAGCGCTAGCATCATACTTATTTTGTATATATGAAAAAAATTCTGAAAATCATTTAAATGATTAATGATCTTCATTCAAAAATCATTTTCTTTTACATGTTCATTAAAATTAATACTGTATACTGTTATTGTACTTTTGACTTTATTCTCATTATTTATATACTGTTTCTGAATTATACTCATGGTATTAATTTTGAATCAATTTAAATGATTTAATTAAGTCCAACCCAAGAAAAAACATATTTGAAATTTTCTTCATCGATAATATACACGTCAACATACGTTTACACATTTTTTATATTTCGAAAATTTTACTTTTAAATTTGTCAAACCAGTTGCCTTTTTTACCACCATTAATTGATACTTAATTTGCTTGAATGAAGAGTTTCTTTTCCCTTTTATTTACAATAAATTTGAACTAATTAGGGAAACATTTGAACCAGAATCATAAATTCCATATATTTCTAATTTGTCATTTTATAATGCTTGATATTTATAAATGATTTAACCAATGGTAACGAAAGCCATTATTTAATTTCTCTCAAATTTTATATGGGTTTAAGTCTTCATACCTGCTGTTGACTTTCACATTAGTATTTTTTCTTTTAAAAATTGATCACCTAATTGTAAATTCGCATCTTCATCTAATACATTCACTTAAATTCTTCTGTCATGGTTATTCAGTCTTCTCGTTTGGTTTGCCTTTTCTTTAAACTGTTTTTCACTTAAGTATATAAAGCTGTTTTTATTATTTCTCTATGATTACTAATCGACTGTAATTCCTCAGGTATTTTACATACTATATTGTCACTTATAGCCTTCTTGTAGCTCGATCTCGATCGATATTACATTTATGATGTTTGGTTTTCGTCACTTCCCGGTAACAAAATAAATTCATATTTAAATTTCTCCATTATTATTTTTTAAATACTAAAGAGATACTTTTTCTTTAGATACGTGTTCAGTCTCTTTTGAGGAGTAAATTAAAAAATCCAAAAGAAATTGCATCTCATAAAACATGACATGTCAAATGCAAGGATTTATTTTGAAGATCTGTAATATTTTTTGAATAAAAAGGAAACAGATGACAATTTACCGTTCTCCATCTGCACGCATTCTTGCTTTTTTTATTAATAAAATACTTACCTTTATAATGCCACATAAGCCAGATGCGGATTCTGTGTGTCCTATGTTCGACTTGATGCTTCCGATCAGTAGTGGCTCCGAGCGAATGGTGCAGAGGGCCTCGTCGATAGCTGTCAATTCTACAGGATCCCCCACACGAGTTCCTTAGAATATTAAATCTTTAGCACATGTATTTAGCATATTAACATATAAACAATAAATGCTACTTCAAAAGGGTTATAGAGATTTTAATTTCATTGAACCTATTTACTCTGTCTGCAGCTCTGAGCGCCATGTCGAGTTGGAGACTGTATTCATTTTCTAAATAGCATAGAGACGTTGTCTCGGATACATCCTGCTTAAAATATTACAAAATCGCTGAATCTGTCAACACTGAGTGGTTTTCCACATATAATAATTAATAATAATAATATATTACTATCAGAACTAGATTACAATAAAAAAATATGGAAAGAAAGAAACGGTGCATAGAATGAGACGTCATAGGATAAATACGGAACAACCCAATTATATATTTAATATTGTAGCAGAAAAAGTAGGAAATACATAATATGAATAATAAATGAATATGGCTGCAGCTTTTCTTTTTCTTTATTTTAAGTTCGGTTCAGAAAAAGGTTTCGAGATCAAAAAATTATGACAATCACTGGCAACTGAAATTAAGACATTGTAATTTTAAAAAGTAAGTAAAATCAAGACACCCGATAAAACAGCCCATGTCGGTTTTGGGCATATTATTTTGCGTTCTCCGAAACAGCTGAATTGCACGAAATGAAATATTCACCCAGCCAAATAGGGATGATGACTAATTTTTGTTTGTTTGTCCGTCAGGCAGAGTGTTAAAAAATATTAAACACGTATTTTTTATTTTTTTCGTAATCATAAAATTACGGCGTTACATGGAGTTGAAATTTCGCATGACGTCACGTTAGGGTACGTTTTCTACTCAACTGTGACGTAGCGAGCTCCCACTCCTCAACTTTAATGCCTGTTATCTAAGCTATTTCTTGTTAAATTAATTTTCTATTATCTGACTGACGGACTAAATAGAATTGCATTTTCTTTACCCAGTCATTATTCCTATTGTTGGCAACGCGTGGACAACAAGTGGTAAATGGAAAACAAATGGCGTGTACCAATTGCCATTACATGATATACACTTCTTTCGAATCAATGTTGCAAAATCTATTGTAACATATAGTAGATTTTTCATAGCTGTGATAATTAAAAAAAAAATTGACGTACCTGTTCCATGTGCTTCAATGTACTCTAAGGTGGATGGTGATATAGAACATTCTTCGTAGAACTCCCGTAAAAGGCGTGTTTGGATGTGACTAGAGGGATATGTGATGTCTTGTTCTTTGAATCCATCACAATTGGTCTTAGCGTGAAGAATCTGTGCGTATACCCTGAGAAAAAAGAATGTGGAATTGCATGAATTAATTATTTGAGATAGTTGACTTGAATCTTGTCTCGAAAAGAACTAGCATGGTGATATTTAACTGGTTGAATATTAAAAATGTGTGGATAAATATACAAAACATAACCTATTGATCTACTCTAATCATATTGTGTTTTTAATAAATTATGAAGTTTATTGGTATTCATATCAATTGGTAAGATGATTTAGTTAATAGTATTTTATAATTAGGTTATACTATTAACTTAAAAATGTGACGTTTATGAATCTTATTATTTATTTAATATATTTTGTGATATTTTAATAATTACTAATTTAGTAAAAAATTTGAATTGACAAATCTATATTGATATTTGTAATAAAATTTTATAACAATAATTTATAAAAATATAGGAATTTTATAAAGTCTGGCATGGCGTTGACTAAGTTTGTCGACTCAAGTTGAATAGAATCATAATAATTCGTTTCATAAATATATACCAGCAAACAGCATCCATTAGCGTAGGACCGAAATTTGAGTCGACGCATTACAACTAAGCCTCTAAAAAACTCTAGGCTTAGCAATTAAGAATAACTTATTTCACAGAAAGCTCGGTGGTGTAATGAATAAGTACCACGACCTGCGATGGTTGTTGTTAAGCAACTTTTAAGTCAGATTAGTCACGAGATGGCCCCAAAATATTATCTCTAGTGACTCCGTGCTTTTAAAAGCACGTTACCCGTTGGTCCCGTCATTTACAGTTGTTGATTCGCTCCAATCCGCATTGGGCTAGCATGGAGAGTCATGACCCATCGTCCTTAACCATCCATAAGGAAGGCCTGAGCCTCTGCAGTGGGAACGTAAAAGGGGCTGATGATGATGATGATGATATCATAGAACAAAAAACAAATTGATTGTTGATTGTAGGTAAATCGCAAAAATTATGTTCTTTGCGCCCGGCCAGGCTAAAATATATTTTTTGATATTTAAAGATATTAATAATAATTTTTATTATAATGCATATAATATTTTTTATTAGTTTAAAGCGACATTACCCATACAAATTTGACATTCATTAGAGTTTAATGAACATTTGTGCAACAGGCCTTTAATTAATTAAAGCAACAGTTAATATGTGAAAATGTTCCTTGCAAAACATCGAAGTATAATTTCCTTGCTATGTCCATTTGCTATGGTTTCGGATATTTCGACGCATACTTCAGTTTTGTGAGAATACTGAATACTGACAGCTTCATATTACATTTGTTAATTATATAGCTACTGAAAAATAAAATCTATTCCAAAATAATGGTTCTGGGAATAAAATAGAACCTACATTTGTCCCGGTCAAAAGAATAATTTCCATGATTTAATTGTTCTACCGTAATAGTATAGAAATTCAAACAGTTTGAATTTAATTGAATACGCCATTTGATTCAGTTAGTTCTTACCATAACCATGTCGAAGTGCAACCTACATGTTGTGATTTCTCGCAATCAAACAACTTACGTTTTTCCTTTTGTATTGGTTTATAAATTTTTCAATTTCCTTGGTCTCAATTTATCAGCTGCTAATTGACACTAATAATCATTTTTTTGTCAACATGTAGTGTTTAGTAACCAGGGTTATGGTTAATTAATCTAATTACCTTCTGGCGTCTTTGGCTTTTTGTAAGAAGCACACGACAACGGCCTCAGAGCGGGTATAACCGTTGGCGCTCTCATCAAAACTTTTACACCTTCCGTCCGCAGATAATGCGCCCAATCTGTGAATATTGTTAGGCATTCAGAAACACATTTCTGGGTTACAAGGGCAACAAACTTTGGCGTAACTGTAGGTTTATACTATAGATTTACGATTGTACAGTTTAATTTATTACACGATTTCCTAAAAAAGGAGGGTGTTGCGTTTAGGGTTAATTATATGTACGAGTATGTATGTGATTTTCCTTATTCCACTAAAACTTGAGAAAGCTTACATTCTCCCGAAAACTACTCATTTTTCTGGCTACTATTTTTTTCAAATATCTAATATGGCGGATACGTCCCGTTTTACTCTTCGGGTACGGAACCCTATAAACACGACGGCCAAAAGTCAACTAAAAACAAAAAAAAAGTTGTGTTATGGCTTGGCTAAAGAAAATTCTTATTGCAGGGTTGGATTGGATTTTGGTAGTAGTGTTTTCTAATTTATTTATTGTATCTATATGTTTTTGACCATTGTTGTATTGGTTTACAATTTATACACACATATTATAAAAGTGTAGTGTAGATGGTGTACATTGAAAGTAAATAAAAAAAAAACTCCAGGGCGTGTTAATACAAGTCAAGGGGTGTTAATACAAGACAAGTATTTGACTTTAAAAAATATTGTCTGTCTGTGTGTTATTCGGCTTTCACACAAAATCGACTAAGCGGATTTTGATGAAACTTTTTTGCTATATAGATATTAATCCCTCGGCAATATATAAGCTACAAATTATTTTAAAGATTAGAATATTTGATAGAGAACGCTAGTAGCCCAGCTCAACTGTAAGAGATATGAATAAAAAGTTTTAGGAAAAAATATTCTACGTGATGAAAATTTTCTATTGACATAATAAAAATAGAGGATCTGGAACAACTGCTGTAGAATCGGGCAGCCTAACTAAACCTTAAGAGATGCGAATATAACGCCTTAGGAACAACTATTCGATGTGATAGCGTTTTCTATTGACGTACAAAAAACGAAGATCTGGAACAACTGCTGTGGAAACTTAACAGCCCAACTCAACCTTATTTAATACGAATAAAACGTCTTAACAAAAATTATTCACCATGATGAGCGTTTTCTATTGTAGTATAAAAATCTAAGATCTGGACAATATTTTTTTAGGAACCTAAGCATCCCAACTAAACCTTTTAATACGAAGATAATGCCTTAGCAAAAGTTTTTCATTGTGATGAGCCTTGTCTTTTCGAATAAAAATCGAAGATTTCTAACAACTGCTATGGAACCTTAGCAACCCAACTAAAGATAAATGAATATAACGCTTAAGGAAAAGTTATTCAAAGTAATAACGTTTTTCTTGGCGTTTAAAAATCGAAGAGCTGGAACAACTGCTGTGGAACCTAAGAACCCCAACTAACAAAACCTTAGGAGATAAGAAAAAGTTATTAAACGTGATAAGCATTTCTTATTGACGTTTAAAATTGAACCATAAAATCTAAAAGGCGGCGATGTAGGTATGTTTTTTTTTTAAGTATATTCACCGATATTTTTGCCAATTGTAGACCGATTTTCAAAATATTTTTTATATTCGACAGCTTAACGGATCGAGATGGCATCTAAATCGAATCAGTAGTTTTTCTTTTATAACAAAATAAAAAAGTTTTTCACCATATATCATCTAAATGTTTAGATGACATTATTGTATTTCATGTATTCTAGCTTAAAAACAAAAATTGCGAATTTTGAATTTATTCAATATCACAGTAGAGGTTTTTCTATATCTAAGGTATGTATATTTTTTTTTTATGAAAGTAGGAATGTCAATTAATTTCTTCTTGAACTGTGAAACAATTTCTATAAAAATTGTTGTTTCCCCGCGACTTCGCCTGCGTTAATTGTATTTACCTATGTCCAACGTATATTTTGTAGTTTCCCGTACTTTTAAATCCAATCCAATGCAATCACATAAGCAATCAAATCTTTCCTCTTAATATGAGTATAGAATTATTGGAAAACAATGATTTAAGAAAATCTTTCTAAGACTTTCACTATGTTGAATATGAGTATTTTAAAAGATCTTTGAAAATTTTTATTGTTTGTTTATTTGCAATGAATAGGTTTCGAAACTACTAAAAATTTCACCTACAGAAAGGCACGTCATTTACGGTGAATATAGGCTATATTTTATCCCGAAAAACAGCAAATAAAGGGATGAAAATGGGACTGGAAGTTTGTAAAGGGAATGAAAACGTTACCATACTAACGATTGTTTACAATTCAATGGGTCATTGTAATTATATCCATGTCATCGTGTCACGATATCAGTCAATATTCAATTATACAGTTCCCTTGGGCGGGCGAAGTCACTGGCGGAAAGCTAGTATTTAATATTTTTAATGTCACCAATTGTATAAAAATATCAAAATCACTAAAAAGCATAAAATATAAACTTAAAAAAGTGATAAATAGTATTTATCTATAAAATGCTATTGAAGTCGGGCGCCTATCATTTAATAAATAAGCTTACAGAAAAACAAGTCGTGATAAGCATGGGCTTCAAGGTCTGACTTATTTTTTTATACAGTAATTATATATATATTTTTATTCCTAAGCGGTCTTTTTTAAAACAAATTTAAAAACGCGCTTGTGATTATTGATTACGATCATGGTCAATTAATATTTTGATAAAACATCTTACTTCAAGAATTGTAATGACGTGGAAGGCTGCAGACATAAGTTGGACCCTCCTACGATGGCAGCGTCACAGTGACCGTCACGGATCGCTCTGAATGCATGTTCCATAGCGTACAGAGAGCTGGAGCAAGCAGCATCAATGACGTAAGACGGGCCAGTGACTCCGAGCCACCGTGAGATTTGATTGGCGAGCATAGCGCGGGAACAACTGAAAATAATCATGCTTTATGTTATCATTATTAACTTACGGGGGATAATAAAAAAATATTCACCATCCTATGACCCTGTTCTTTGCGAAAGTTTCTTTACGTCCTTATCGACGGCGCCATCGAGGGTTATATCTTACTAGCCCTTCGCCAGTGGCTTAGCCAGCGTCAAGTTTTCACACGTTTAAGTCTAGAAATCACAAATCTCCATATAAACTTCACCCCCCCCATTTGGTTGAATTTCTAAGTTTTTATCTACATCATGAAAGGAACCCCTCTACTAAAGTTTCAAGGTACAGTAGTTTCAGTTGTGCATTGATAAGTCAGTCAGGTTTACCATTTATTTATACTGTAAGGCGATTTGTCAGAGAGGTGTCCTCGGGCGCAGGGACAAGCTAGAGAGCGTCATCGGGACTCGGTGCGGGATTGATGTGTGCGCACATGCGCACGTGTGCGAGCTTAGGTGTTATTAAAGAAATTTGTCATAATTCGATCGTTGCCCGACCACGGTCTTTTTTATGTGCTGTGATCGGGAATTTCTTCGAAGCCCGACAAGAGTAATTACTGCCGTTTAGTAGAGTCTTTGAGTTTCATTACACTTAATATTTGTCTTAAGACATAACCGATGAATATAAATTCCTATCATTCCATCTATTTCTATCTGCATCTTAGCAAATTTCTCCTCCATTTTGTTTAGCAATTTCTGCTGCTCCTCATTTATTTTCTTTGACTTTTCCGCCTATTCGTCCTACTTCTTTATGTGTCTGACTAAAGTAGCTAGGTTCTGAAGAAAACAGTGCTAAGATCTTTCAACTTTTTGCAATGCTATGGAGTCGGCGCAATGACCCGTCTAACAGACCATATTTTATTGCGCCAAACCTAAATCAACCCCAATATATGATCCCTTATATGTCCATAATCGTTATTAATCCCATACTTCTTCTATCCTCTACACTCAGACTCTCCTCTCCAGATCTTTCTTCTTCCTGTCAACATTATCTCCTCTGTGCCTTCCTCATCCGTCATTTCCGAACCAAAGTCCAAATCCAAAATAGTTTCCCCCTCTGACGCGCAACTCTCTTCTTCATCATCCGAATCGATCGTTTTGCCGCCTTTCCGGAATTTGGCGTCCCGTGGGTTGCGCCGAGCGATCTCTTCAGCTTCACCTCTTTCTCCTTTTCCTTTATGTGTTCCTTTGAAGAACCACCATTATCCTTTGAAGGGCCACTGCGTCATTATTTACTTCTTACTTTCATATTACAATTATTGCCCCCCTCCCCCATAATATGAGGGGTTGCTCGAGTCCAAAGACTCGGGGAAGGGTTTTCCCTAACCGTATGTACCTTAATGGACATAGGACGTACTTTCCTGGGCTAGTATCTTTTTGCCTCTTATAATTTTCATATTGTCCTTTATTTTTTTCGTCTATCTCCTTCTTCATCCTTTTTTTTTTGTATTAGAAATTTTTATAGAGGTTTTCTTCCACGCAGCTCCCGCCCACAGGCAGCGGCAACCTAAGCCACATGCTGCCCGCTCATCAATGACGTAAGCCCTACGCCGTCCGTTCACCTACCACGTCCCCAAGTCGTGGTCTTGAAAAATGCCTGCCGCCCACCTAGACACTACGATGCAGGACTCTCCCCCTCATGTGACCTCAAAGGGACCCCTCTCCTCTCGGCTGCCGCTACCCAGAATAAGTCCGGGACGCCAGCTGAGTTTCGCCTTCTGTGCTGTTTTTCATCCGCAATCCGGGGGTCGCGCCCGGTAAGTGGAAACAGCCAAAACCGCCTATGGGCTCACTGATCACCTACAGAGTAAGTCTGTAAGCGTGGGAGTGTCTCACATAACTCCTGTCATCACGTCAAGTGGCAGGGATTGTACGTAACGTACTTTACCTAGGTCAAAAATGTATGCCTCTGCCTTTTCACCTGCTTCCTACAACATTTTATACGAGGGTCAAACTGAAAGTTCTTAGAAAATCAAAAACTGATTACATTAACCAGTTATTAGTTTTATTATATCTTTTCAAAATATTGTCCATTCACGTCAATACACCGCTGCATGCGATGGAACCACTGGGAAAAGCACTTTGCCCACTCGTCCTTAGGGGTCTCTTCAATGGCATCGCGATACGCAGCCACCGCTTCTTCAGCATTCATAAACCGCTTTCCTTTAAGTTTTTCTTTAATTTTTGGAAATAAATAAAAATCACAAGGCGCGAGGTCGGGGCTATACGGCGGGTGACCCAGTAATTCAACGTTTGATGTCGCCAAATAGTCGATCGTTCGCTTGGCGGTGTGCGACGAGGCGTTGTCGTGGTGAAGGAGGATCCTACTGCGAGGTCGTTTCTCTCGAACTTTTTCCAAGACAAGTGGCAAACAATTGGTAGTGTACCATTCTGCAGAAACTGTTTTTTGATCCTCTAACACAATTGTTGCAAAATGACCTATCCTTCCAAAGAACGAGGCCACCATTTTTTTTCCCGCACTTCGATCTCTCTTCACTTTAGTTGGCAACTCCTCGAAAGGAAACACCCACTGAGCAGATTGTCTTTTGGTTTTAGGATCATAACAGTAAATCCAGCTTTCGTCACCTGTTAGTATGTCGAACACAGCATTTGAGTCACCTCCGTTAAATCTTTCAATCATTTTACGACACCAATCCACACGATGGAGTTTTTGAGCCTCAGTCAAATTATGAGGTATCCACCGGGCGCAAAGCTTCCTGACCGCTAAATGTTCGTGGAGGATTTTGTGCACTTGACTCATACCGATGCCTAAGCTTGTCCGAATCTGTTGATAGGTCACTCTTTTGTCAGTCTCTATCATACGCCGCACAACACAGATGTTATCTTCAGTCGTCGCCGTAGAAGGCCGTCCCTCACGTAAATCATCAGTGAGATTAGTGCGACCACGTTTAAACTCATTAAACCAGTTGTAAACAGTCGCACGAGATGGGGCTTCATCGTGAAAGGCCAATCGTAGTCTATCATAACTTTCTTGTTGACTTAAATGACATCGAAAGTCATAAAAAATCATTGCACGAAAATTTTCTCGTGTTAAATTCATGATGACGTGACACAGACAATTTTCAATTTGCCGCCAAATCGTAAAACAAATGACAAATGAATGAAATATATTCTCAGTAATATTGGCAAAGAGTTATATTTTCAAATTTTAGAATTATTTTTTTATTATATTGTTTATAAGTGGCCAGTTCTAAGAACTTTCAGTTTGACCCTCGTACTCTTAATAATTATTAACACTATATTGTAAAATTTTAGGAACAGCAGTGGTAAATATACAAGCAAAATAGAAGTGAACAATTTACCCGATATGGCCAAATCCGTTTTGTTGCATGTTCTCGTAGAACCATATCTTCTCTGATTCAAAGATTGAAGCTCCGATGAACACACCCGTTTTAATGTTCTGCAATTCTCTAGGGTTCATTCCTGTGAACCATAAATAAATTGAGTAGAGTTAAACTTACGTCAAGGCATCTGCATATCATACTACTCCATATATCCTTATTATAATGACTTAAATTAATCTTGAAAATGTGTTGTACCTTCTTAATTATTTTTATTTTTTCATTCGGGCTACTTCGTCCTTCGGAAAGCACTTTAAGTCATTGATACCCTCTAATCCGCATTTGGCCAGTAAAAGGGCTGATGATGATGATGAGAATGAATCAAATAGTTTTCGTTTTAACGAGTACCATTCTATAGTATAGTTTAAAGACAAACTCGTACTGGTAAATATGATCTGATTATTTCGTTTTAAGTTAAACTTTATTTTACTCACCAGCATCAATGATGGCCTCATAAGTCTTCTCAAGCAATATCCTGCCCATTGGATCTATGGTGTGAGCTTGTTTATAATGTATGCGGAAAAAAGTTGCGTCGAATTTGTGAATGTTGTTGACTTTGCCCGTACGGTGTGGAATATTTGGATGATGCGCCAGCTTCCAGCGTTTATCGTTATCTGACACCATGTCGACCTGGGAAGAACATATGTTGTTATGATACTTAAATCTCACAATTATCTGTAAGTTTATATTAACGCCTTGTTATCTCAATATGGGATAATACGGTTACACACAATAAGTTGTTATATTGTGTTTGTTATTGTAAATTATCTCTGTAGTTGACACTTCATCACTGAGGATCCACTGCCGGATTGCACTATTCGTCTTTATTAGCTACTGCCCATCGCATCTCTAACCATATTGTGTAACTTGGTAGCATATGAGTTCTTTATTTGATCTGTGCACCTGGTTAGTGGTCGACATCTTGAGCGTTTGCTTTCATTGTTGCCAATCAGGACAAGCCGTTAGCACCTTTTCGTATTATGTGTCTGAAGTATCTGAGCACATATGGAATCAAATCAAATCAAAAACATTTATTCAGTCTAGGCTGTGAAAGTCGAAACTCTATGCCATCGTTTCGTAAGTCTATGATGGGAGACCAAGTACCGAGAAAAACCGGCATGAAACATGGCAAAGACGGCTTTTTTCTACCTATAAAGAGTCATTAAGATTGAAAAATGAAATGATAAATGATAAACTGCATCCACTACTACACACTTGTGAAAAATAGGTCATATTTAAGACCAAAGAGTTTTGTCGTTTAAATATTCAGTAACGGTATAATATCCTTTAATAACTCCATCTCGAGTAGACAATTTGGATTTAGACGTAAAATCTCCACAGAAGATGCCGTTTCTCTGGTAACAAAAACTATCTCTGCCTCTCTAGATGGAAAAGAACATACTATCGGAGTCTTTATTGATCTCTTGATACAGTCTCATGCTCATATTTTTAAAAAGTTGGCGTGCCACCACTCAACTGTTTTAATAGTTATTTTTCTGGCTATTAAGATTAATAATGTTCAAAGTAATACACTACACGTAAAATTTGGTGTTCCTCAAGGTAGTATTCCCGGCCCAACACTGTTCATAATCTACATTAATGAACTTCGTAACCTACCTGTACCCAGTGCAGACATAATATGCAGTAGTTCTCTTTAAAGAATCACCGTGGAGCGGTGTTGTGAGGCTCGCAGAAAACGGCATGATCCCTATCGCTAAGTAGCTTGATCGTAATCTTCTGACTCATAATTCAAAACAGACAAAGTTCATAGCATTTCACAAAACAAGAGCTTCTTCATCTAACACATCGATTAATTTTACTTAAATGCAATTTACTAAGTGTTATTTCTAATTTCATTACATTACATACAGGAGTACTTGTGACTGAGAGTCAGTGGAAAGGCTGGTTAGATCTCATATGCTAGGTTGGGTCTAAAATCTCTCTTTTAATAAGCATGGTCTCTCACGTACCGTCACGAGGGCGAAACATGATTTATATTGTAAAATCTCTCAGGTAGTCAGCTCCTCTTGACATATTTAACATGTTTTATATCTCGCTATGTCAATATCTTCTGATTTGTTGCATAGGTATATGAGGCTAGGCTAAAAGTCGTGCTCAAAAAACATTACTGGTATCCAATGGATACACTCTATAAGGAATCCAAAATACTCTGTGATCGACAATTTTACGAGTGGCGTGATGTATCCTCCCAAAATTAAAATATATTAACTCCGCTTTTTAACCTTGGTTCAAAAGCGTATATTTATGATCCCCTTGTTTTGTGTTTGCACCGCATTTGTTCGACGTTTCCTTTTTTTTCTCACCCTTACATCTACAATAGGATCAACCCTAAAAGCCCGGTACATAGCTTCTGTTTACGTATAGCTAAATTAGTAAAATACGAGTTAAAGCTCCGAGGGCTGCGTCCCGAACAACTGTCTAAATAAAGTAGTACGTTACAAACCGACGTATCACTCACTCGCATCTACAACATAAACCACGCAGTCAATGCGATAGTTGCTTTTGACTGATGCGTACCTAGATACCGTGACGCAATGGACAAATGCTTACGCCGGCGGCCCCGAGTTCCAATCCAACAGCCGACACAGAAAATGTGAGCATCCCCTTTTTCAATGCTGAGTGTCCTCGGGCGCACTGTTCATAGATCTTGACACAGAAGGGGTAAAGTACCAAGGCACCAGCAATGATCATTACTTTTATTTATGCCAAAAAGTCAAACACGTCCGAACCCTACAAGTACCGTCATACATTCAACATAATCACTACTATTAATATAAGTATTAATAGAAGTAATTTTGTTTCTACTGATTGGAATTATGAGAGATTAAGTCATACTATAGCATATGATTTTTCAAAACATCTGTATTAAAAAAAAAATAATAGGTCCCTTACCTTATTAAACAAATTTTCTTGCAGATGTAGAACAGAGTCAGAGTCGGGAAAGGAACCCGATATACCGGTGATATAGACTTCATCACCAGGATCTGGATGAGAAAGCCGGTGGCCGGATTTCAGCTTATCCTCGGGCTTTAAAGTTGATGTCATCTGATAACATGTTGTGTCAATAAATAAATTATATAAATTCAAGATTGAAAAAACTAAACAACAGACAAAATTTAACTTTACACACATAATTGATAAATTAATACAAAATTAAACATTTCCTGATTTATTTTAGAAAATATACATAAAAGTAAATATACATAAAGGTATTGAGACCTTCAATAATATAAAATATATAATAATTGACGGTGTCAATGCCTTTATGTATATTTTCTTATTTGTACATATTTGTACATAAATAAATTGCATAAATTGCATGATAGTGATCCTTAAGATAAGAAGCGCGATTGAAAAGTATGCTTAATATCATAACATCGTTAGAATATGTCGTGTATATTGTCGAGTAGGCAACTACTTGAGTATTTTACGAAATTTAGAAATGTCACACTAAAGTCCTTTTTGCGAATCCAAATCTAAATCGTATGCAAACATTTTGAAGTCGCTCAAGCTTGTTTAGTTGCTGTGAAGTCAAGATGGCTGACATTGGCATAATCAAGAATGGGCACTATAACAGATTTTCCTAGCGTAATTTTAGTGACAGTGACCAAAATATTGCGGAGTGTAGTTAAAGACCCAGCAAAGGCAAATATCGTAGTTTGCGACTCACTTCTTTGAGCTGCATATACCTTTCAAATAAATAAATACCAATTCAAAATTTGTCAAACTGTACGCCCAAACTTCTAATCTGATTGCTGAGTTATAAATTAAATAAACTAAAAACTACTTAAGTTTTTCTGTTACCCGAGAACTGCCTATTATAATAACGGGTTTTGTTAGGATTTATCAGCAATCCATGATTACGGCTTCATTCAGAAATCATCTGCATAGAGATGGTCGGAAGAAACTAATTGACATGAATAGAATTAGTGTATACTGCCAAAAGAAGAGGAGATAAAACGCCACCCTGCAGTAGTACCATAGCAGTTATATTGTAACACGAGGAAAAAGAATTTTCAACGCGGTCTCAACGTGGAGGTAACTTCGAAACCAACTAATCGCTGATGCAGATATGTTAATGGAGCGTTATGTATGAATCAAAACATCGAAATCAATAATGTTGAAAGCCTTGCTCAAATCAAGTAGACACAAAATTGTAAGGCTTCCAGTTTTAATTCCTAGTATTATATCATCCGTTATATTAATAAGGGCAATGGTGATGCTGTGACCTGCTCGGAAACCGGATTGATAGGGAGTCATGAGCTTGTTCTTATTCAGAAAAATAATAAGTTGGTTATGGATGAGGTGCTCAAGAACTGGATTAAGATGGAAAAATGGAGATTGGATAATAACATTGGTCAACATGATTTTTTGCTGTTATTTAAATTATTTATTTTTGACATCTCTTATGTCTAAGTGTCTACAAAACAGAACATCAAAATAACTAAATAGACGATTAACTTTAAACTTGAGAAATTTTTACATAATAATATATAATAGAAACAAGACGTGACATTTTTGAGAACACAACAAACCCTCCTATCTGTGCATATTTTCAGTTTGTTATCATTGGGTTATTGTCACTTAATAAATACTACTATAACAGTTGACTCTGTTCAATTTCTAGTACTTTTCCAACGGGTTCCATTTGTAAAATTTTTTTTTAGTTTATTTTCATAAGTTTGTGTTTTAAAGAAGCGTTTTATTCAATATGAGTCGAAAATGCTTAAATTCACCCGATCTCTTTTGTTTTATTTGTGGAGAGTTTACTTCAACTTCTAATCGAAAACGACACACTTATAACTTGTATTTTGGTTTGAACATTCCTGATACTATTAATAAGAGTTGGGCAACTAGTTATTTTTGTTTAAGATTGAAAAAAAAAATTGTTTAAGATTGAATGGCTTTCCTTTGTTGAAGTGACCAAAAATTTTTTCGGAAACACGAAGTCTCCAAACTGTAAAAAGTTTCTAAGTAACTAGAGGATTATAAAGTCTTAGGATGTAATACGTCTTTGAATATCATTTTCTTCATTCCCACCTAGACTTTTTCCCAGCAAACTTGGGTGCGTTAAGAGATGAGCATGGCGAAAGATTCCATCACGATATCACGGCAATGGAAAAAAGATACCAACGAGAATGGTCACCGAAAATTCCTGCAGATTTTTGTTGCACATTAAAACGAAATTATTCGTTATATAGTTATAAGAGACAAGCAAAAATAACAAAAACATGCTCAGAATAATATTTTAAAAACAATTCAAATTAAAGTTTTTTTTTTGCATAAACATGTTTCCGAAGAAGTAGGGTGTTTCTTTTTTTGACACACATATTTTAAGTGATATCATATTAAGGTATGAGAAAATAACACTTAAGATCAACGGCAAAAAAATCAAATCAGAGGGTTTGGGCGAATTACATTTCTTGGGAAGTGGTCACTCCACTTGAGTTTCCTTTCAAGAAGACGAAACTTGTCCACTTGAAATGAAAGTGTTAAATATGTAGGTCATCACAAGAAGTATGTTTATTTTTTTTTTATATAGCCTATGTAATCCATGCCCGTGTTATAAAAAGGCGGCGACTGTGTTACTTCCGCGACCAGCAAATAAGTCATGCACTGATTATTATTATTATTACTAACAAATTTAAATCGAGTGCATCGAACACATTTTGCGAAGACGATGTTTTTTGTTAACTTACTCCTAATATCTAATATTGTTGACGTAACATAGCTAAAGTTGATGTAGTTCTCCCGTGCAATGTTTTATTCCTTAATACATTCATACATCCTCTAACCAATCCTGATCTCGTTACTGATACTGATATACTATGGAATTTCTAGTAGCTTTCTTTTACCTTTTCCCAGCGTTGAATTATCGTGCGAAAGTTAGCTTCGAGTTGCAATTCTTTATGAAATTATCTTCTACGTCATTATTCCGAACCGTCCTTTAAAAGTCTTTATTTACACCGGTCTTTGCACATTTAAGATTAACTGTGTAAAAACACACAGGAAATCAGTCAAGGGTTTATTAATCGGGTTAATTTTCGGTGGATTGGCTATTTTTCTTAAAACTATCTCTAATAGATTTAATAGCGTCAAGAAGAGGTATTCGAGTGTTGAGTATAGCGGAATACAAAGGCATTGTTATATGTAAACGTGTTAGACTTGTCAAAAATCACAACATTAAAAAACGGATCAGACGCACTCGTTATTCAGTTACCACCAATGTTTGAGTTATTAGTCCTTTTAAGATCCGACACAACTCCCGCACTGTTGTATTTTTTTGTGTTTCGATAGTTTTTCGAATTCGCGCGCGGTACTATTCAACCAGGCACGTTAGTAATATCGAAGGATCAAAATGCAGGGCTTAAATCCTTAGAAGAAAAAAGTTTAGTTATATACTTCGTTAAGAGTTTGCGTTCTGTTTGAGGTGAATTATAAATAAAAGGTAATTCAAAATAATAATAAATAATAGTATAACCAATTATCACAAGATTATCAGAGCTATTGACTTTGTTTAATTATTGAGTTAAATTAAGGAGATCAAGATCAGTACAACTGTTACATTCTTTGTTTACATAATTCTACCAACCTTATTAATAATCTGATACAGCATAAGTTTTTTACGGTAATCTAACACTGCCCATCCATTTTCGGTTGATAACCGCACAATCCCTTATCAACGGAATCAGTACTCGATAACAATGCAAACTATTTAAATACGTTCCTTTTGTTTTTTTCGACACTTTCAGTAAAAGTTCCTTTTGTTAGTTTTACTGAAAGCACTACTTCTTATTTATGGTCCATTAGGTGAGGAGATGCAGTGGAAATAGCTCTTTGAACAGGTTTGTTTGAACCTAAAGGTCATTCAAGTAGGCGGAATAGTCAAAATTAGAATTTTCAAAGCTTATGACCATATAAGCTTATGACTCACGACAATGCCGTGTAGCGATGGCAGAATAGAATACGATTTTCACCGAACCTACTCTTCCCGCGGGTGTTGTAAGAGCTGACAAAGGGATTACACACAAAACAGAGAATGAGCAGCAGTACTCTCTGTTAAATCATATTTTTAATACTGCGATCATCAACCTGCCTGCAAGTGTGGAGATTATGAAAAAACCCTTCACTAACGTGGAGGAGGCGTTTAGTCCTGCTGTGTATTATCGTTAGTTTCTCGGTTGCTATCTGCACCGACTTAATACTAACCGACTCTATTATCATCTTGATTGAGGATAGAACGCGATCTGCATGTATTAGTTTATCAAAATTCTCAATCACCAAAAATAAAATAAAGGTCACATTGTCGTCACATAATAAATATGTATTTGTTATTTAAAAATATATATAACGCACACACTCATCTCTTCCAATAAGCTATAATTTTTTTCATCTAAGGCTATTTAATCACAGTCAGATTATACCGAACTGCCTCACATTGAAAATGGCAGATAGCGTTGTGTTTTTTGTTCGTAATATATTTTGATACTTATTTTAATTAAAATAAATGAAGAAAAATATTTTTTTTCAAATAGAGTAACATACCTTATTGCTAACTCATGAAATACTTCAGTTATATTAAACTATAAGTGCTCACTTGGCATGTTTTAACAAGAATGACTATTCTTTTGTATCTAGGGAAAAGCTGTACAACTTCAATTGAATGTACGTAACAAACAATAAACATTATTTACAGGTTGTTGCGTTTTTTATTTTTATAATTGCTAAAGTCGAAATAAGAAATTACTTTAATATTTTATTGTTTATTAAATATTTTATTAGTTAAGTCGATTCTGGTTTGCTCACACCTATTACGATCGACGTCACGAGCGAAGAGAGGACTTAATTTTTAAAGTGACCAAAACTAACATAACTGTTTCATTTTACAAAAGTGATTCGCTTCTGAAACGCCGTTGCCGCGGCTCGCTTCGTTTGGCTCGTGTGGACTCTCTCGTGCGGACCAAACTCCCGAATGGGGATTAGTCAAATAGAAGGGACATACACACAAAAATATAGCGATGTCCCTCTCTACAATGCGAAGCACA